TGGTAGACTACATACTTGTGCATGCACTAGGTCCTAAAATCAGATCCCAGGCACAAAAGTGAGGTGTGGTCATATCTACAATGCCAGTAGCTAAGAGGCAGGAGCAGGGGAATCAGAAGTTGAAGGACATTATTGGTTACATACCAAGTTCAAGAGCAGTCTGCCTCACAAAACAATCAATAAATAGATAAATAAATGGAATAATGGGTCAAACTCCCCAAAGGTGAGTGACTGGCTCTCTTACCTCCTTTGGGTCTTTACCGAGTGTCAACTCCTTGCTGAGGTGTCCCCTGTATACTTTACTTAGATGTGGCACTTTCTTCCTTCTCTGCTTTAGTTTTCTGCATAGCACTCACTTCAGCATCTAATGTGTTGAGTTTCTTTTCCCAACCACCATTTTCTAACCCATAGAACGGGAACTCCATGAGGGTAAGGATTTATTTATTTACTTACTGTTTTGTTTTTTTGAGACAGGGTTTCTCTGTGTAGCTTTGGAGCCTGTCCTGGCACTCGCTCTGTAGACCAAGCTGGCCTCTAACTCACAGAGATCCGCCTGCCTCTGCCTCCCGAGTGCCGGGATTAAAGGCCTGCGCCACAAATGCCCGTCGAGGGTAGGGATTTTTGACCAGTTTGTTTATCATTGTTTTCCAGCATTCAGAGCAGTGGCTCTCAGGGTGAAGGCCTCAAGGAATACTTTCAGAAGGCATGAATGAGGCTCAGGCACCTTTAATAACTTGGTGGAGTGGCAGCCCTTCCAAAACCAGTGTGTTAATTGCTTTACCCTGTGGCTTAGACTCAAAGACCAAAGTATGGCTCTGGGGTTCCAAGAAGATATGAGCCTTGCCAAGAGAGTGAGGCTTGGCTTCTGGGAGTTAGACTTGAACTAAGTGGTAAGAGGAGTCCTCTGGACCTTGGACAAGCCCCTTCAAGGAGCTGAGAGACTCTTGTCTTCTCTCTCTGCTCTGAGTCACTGGTAAAGCCAGCACCCGTCCTTATTTTTAGTGCTGATGCTGTAGTGGGGCTGTAACCATTAGCCAGTAAGAGACTTAAGAGAGGAGCTAAACATTAATCGCCTGGGCCTTCCCTCAGCTGCCACCTCCGCATTGCAAGATGCTGTTCTCCCACACCTGCCCCAAGAGCTGTGGTCAAGGGTGGTGAGGTGAGTGGTCAGAGATGGGCTGGGTGGGTCTGCAGCTGGCACGGCTGACTTGATTGATTAATGCCTTGGGCTCAAGACCAGGGCTGGGAGCAAACGTTGAGTTTTCCCTGTCATATGGCCAGATATGGGAGGAGCAAGCCACCACCACCATCCAACAGGTTTATTGCTACTTTCTTGTGTGTTTCTGTTGGTGGAAGTCTCCAGCCATGTTGTTCTATCTGGGACCAAGAGATACCAAGAAATGTTGGGAATTGGGAATTATCCAGGGTTCTCCTGGCTAAATCCTGGCCATTGGCCGTGCTGAACCTGAAGGTGGGAAGAAAGGCCTGACCCAGATCTTGGGCAGCTGGGATGGATTAGCTGAGTTGCTGGGACTAATCTCTGCCTGTCCCCACCTCTTTTCACAAAGTAAAGCTGTTGCTAGAGGGAAGGTTTAGGACAAAGCTAAGGATGATTGGAAAACAGTGCAAGGGAATTCCTGCTGCTCTATCATCGTTGCATTATTTCAGAATGACAGGCCAGCATTTGATTCCTTTCCTCCTGTCCAACCTTAAGTTATTTAGCATCTCTGGGCCTTAGTTTTACTATGTATACAGTTGGAGTATTCAAGCTGGACATGGTGGCGCACACCTTTTTTTTTTTTCTTTTTTTTTTTTTAATTATGTGTGCAGTGTTCTGTCTACATATATCCCAGCAGGTCAGAAGAGGTACCAGATCTCATTACAGGTGGTTGTGAGCCACCATGTGGTTTCTGGGAATTGAACTCAGGACCTCTGGAAGAGTAGCCAGTGCTCTTAACCTCTGAGCCATCTCACCAGCCCTGGTGGCGCACACCTTTAATCCCAGCACTTGGGAGGTAGAGGCAGGCCAGTCTCTGGAGTTCTAGGCCAGCTTGGTCTACAAAGTGAGTTCCAGGACAGTCAGGGCTGTTACACAGAGAAACCCTGTCTTGAAAAACCATAAATAAATAAATAAACAAATAAGTGAAAAGGGAGTAATCACATCCCCTACCTGATAGAACCATTGAGGGGGTTATAGAACACTTTAAAGGGATAGTTTCCTGTATAGAGTAGAAATAAGATGGGAGAAACCACTCTCAAGAAAGGCAGGAGGGGGGGGCTGGAGAGATGGCTCAGAGGTTAAGAGCACTGACTGCTCTTCCAGAGGTTCTGAGTTCAATTCCCAGCAACCACATGGTGGCTCACAACCATCTATAATGAGATCTGGTGCCCTCTTCTGGTGTGCAGATATACATGGAAGCAGAATGTTGTATACATAATAAATAATAAAATCTCTAAAAAAAAAAAAAGAAAAAGAAAGACAGGAGGGCTGTGGGTGTGGCTCAGTTGGTAGATCTAAGCACTTATGAGTCCGTGAGTTCAGTCCCCAGCACTGCATAAGCCATACATAGTGGTGCCCAAGAGGTAGAGGCAGAAGGGTAAGGAGTTCAAGGTGGTCATCTTCAGCTACATAGTTTGAGGGTAGCCTGGGCTATATAAGGCTCTGCCTCAAAAACAGATGCCGAGGGATCGCTTATCTTGGAATGTTGGATTGGATTCTGTTCCCCCAAACCTGGAGTCTTCAGTTGATAATCTCACTTTTTTTTTTTTTTTTTTTCTTCACTCTGTCATGGTGTAGCAGTGGAGAATGAGTGGTCTAAGCCACACCAGCTTTCTGACTGTGGTACTTTGGCGGGTTACTCTCTTTTTAAGCTTCGGTTTCTTATTTATGTAATAGAGCAAAACAGATCCCTACTTCACAGAGTTTCTGTTAGGATGAACTGTTGAGAACCCCTGACTCTGCCTGGCACGTAGCAAAGCTTAGCCAGTGGTAGTTATTATTGCTGCTGTTGCTGTTCTCGTTGAACTCTGTTTACATAAAGACCTCTGGCAAGTACAACTTAGAATCTTGAGCCTCTGGGGAGAGCTTATGACCAAAAGATGGCCATTGGGATATACGATGTGAGAAGTGGGAGAATGGAGAGATGGTTAGAAAAGAAGTCATACCCCACCCAAGAAGAATGGGCATGGCTTTTTGGAAGAGGTGGCTCTGGCCAAGTCCTAGCAGGTAGAGATAGGAGGTCGAGTGGGGAGAGTTCTAGGCCTTCTGTCTCGGAGCTTGTCTCTGCTTTCTGGAGCTCTGCCTTCCTTCGGAAGGAATTGGCCTACCTAGCTCACTTGGATCTGAAGACTCAACTGAGTCTGATCATTTCCTCAGAACAGTAATCTTAAGGTCCAAGTGCAGAGAAGCCGAATCCAAGGCAGTGAGTGGGTAGCCAAGGAGAGAAGCAAAATGGGCATCATAGCTGTGCCAGTCTCTTACGGTTGTGTAGGGGTAAAAGAAAACATGTCTCACTTACACAGTGAGCCTTTAATCAAATCCAGCTGTTACTGCTATTGTCGTATTTTAAAATATTTTCATTGTACTTGTGTGTGCGTGCACACGTATGCATATATGTACATGTCATAGTATGTGTGTGGAGGGGGGGTTAAGAGAAGAACTGTGGGAGTTGGTTCTCTCCTCCTGTGTGGGTTCCAGGGATCCAACTCAGGTCATCAAGGTTGGTGAAGAGCTTTCACCCACTGAGCCATCTTGATGGCTCTATAGTTGGTATTTTAATTCACCTCGATCACCCACATCGTTGTAGTCAGCATCACTGTGTTCCAAGGTTGTTACAAGGACCACATAAGAGAATCGTGTAGAACTTCTAGCAGAGTGACTGCTGTACACCTTAGCTTAGCCTTCCTGTGTCCTCTGTTTGGCTTTACAGTTGCAGTTACTGATGGTGGTCAACTGTGATCCAAATTTCTGGAAGATTCCAGAAATAAGCAATTAATAAAATTTTAAATTACATGTTGTCTGAGTAACACGATAAAATTGCTTGCCATCCTGCTCCATCCCACTCAGGACATGACTCATCCACCAATCCACATAGCGTAAGCTACTTGTCCGTTAGTCACTTAGTGGCCTTCTTGCTTATCAGATCCATCAGCTGTTGGATATCTCAAATGCTTTTTTACCTCTCCCTGTTTGAGACAGAGTCCCTTGAACTTCTGCTTCTGCCTCCACCTCTGAAGTACTGGAATTACATGTGTTCACCAGCACCTGTTTGGTTGTGGTTTTTGTTTGTTTATTTTTTATAGTGCTAAGGATTGAGCCCAGGGCCTAGTATGTGCTAGGACAAGTTCTGTCTCAACAAGCTATATTCCCTGGGTCCTTGGGTTTTGAGACACTGTCTGAATATGTAGCCCCTTCCTGCCTCTACTTACTGAGAACAGGAATTAGACATGGTCCACCATACCTGCCTTTGCAGGGCTTTTATGTAGTGTTTGGTACTATCTGGAATTTCAGGTACATCAACTGGGGGGTCTTGAAATACCCACCCCACCCCCTTGGATTAGGGATATCTGTTGTTATTCAGAACACGAACTCACTCTGTGGACCAGGCTGGCCTTGATCTCAGATAATGGCCTGCCTCCAACTCTGTCTCCCAAATGCTGAGATTAAAGGTATGTGCCACCCCAGCCCCCAGATTTTTAACACCCTAGTTCAGTGAAATATCTGTTATAGAGGAAGGAGACCAAGGTTTAGCTAAAGACCTAGATATAAATTCTGGTGTGCCACTTGTGGTTTAAGGTGTTTAACCTCTCCAGTCCCATTTCCTCGTGAGAAAAAGGCAGTCACAAAAAACGTCTCCAGATTTGCTATGATTTGCTGTGTTAATTTAGCAAATTGACAAAAATGCCTAGTTGATCTTAAGAATTAAAGGAATAATAATAGCCAGGTAACCAGAGCTAGGATGGATGGCTAATGACTTGTTTTCTTTTGTCTATCCTTTCAGATCATCAGAAACTAGAGCGAGAGGCCCGGATATGCCGACTTCTGAAACATCCAAACATTGGTGAGTGTCTGGCAGAGTCTGGGAGTGTTTCCATAGGAGGCAGGGAGAACAGAGGTTGGTTAGTTGTGTGTGTGGAGTTACCTCTGGTCATGGATCTTCACCTGGTGTCTTTTCTTGCCTGAGTAGGATGGCAGCTGTGTGTCAGAATTTTAGGGCTTTCTTGTTTAGACATGTGAGTATCTCCTTGGCTATGGTGCCATCTCAAGGCTGGGATGTGAGGCTTTTGAATATGTTTCAGACTCTCTTTTTCCCTCTGTCTTTGGGCTGAAATCCAGAGTTCTCAGTGTGTGAGGTTCCGGGCTTACCAGTATGCCAGTCTCTCACCAGAGGCCATCCATAGCCTTCATGAAAGGCTCAGGATTTTGTTCCTGAACCTAAAAGAGTTTTGTTCCTGTTGCAGTGTCCTGCACACTCTGGGGGTTTCCATGGTACTCCTGTTTGTTCCCCAGAGCCAGGAAAGCAAACTGCCTGTCTGCCTGCCTGGCTTCTCTGGAGAAGGAATGGCAAGAGCTGCTCAGATGAGGAAGCAGAAAAACTTGAGAGGATCTCTCCCCGCTCCCACCCCGCTTGGGGTACAAGAGGACATTGTTGGTTGTTCTAAAGCCTGAGGAGGCTCGCCTGCCATAGCCCACTCTGGCTTAGTTTTACATTGTTCAGCTGAAATAGTCTTTGCCAAAAGTGTTGGCCCTGATCTGCAGCTCCTTACACAAGGGACAGAAACTGGGTTGGCTGCAGCGTTGACTTGAGGCAGGGAGCATCTCCTAGGTTTTCCTGAAATCCCTGAGTCATCATAAAAGATAACACGTGTTCTCCTCAGGCATGGCCTAAATATCAGGGCTCCCAAAGTGCCTTGAATGCTGCCTTCTTAGCTCTTGGAGACTAAGGCTGAGGGGTGGCTTGGTGAAGAAGCTTGATGCTGCCTCTAGAGCTGCCCAGCTTCTGGCTTCCCAGATCTCAGGGCTCAGAGTGAGCTCTTATGTGGAGGAGCTGAGGTCAAACTCCAACCCCCTGGGAGAGGAGCAGCTCTGAGGTAACCAGAACTCCAAGCATGCAGGGCTGTTAGATCACAGTCAGCAACTTGGGTTACACCGGAAGCTGATTGGTGTAGCCAGTGCTCTGCTCCACTTGGTGCAGTGTTGGCCATAGAGCTGCTGGAGTTCCTTGGGAGTCTCTTAGGTTAGCCTTTTCACCTGAAAAATATAATGGGGACCAGTATATTACCATGGACAGGAGAGGACAATGGAGAAACACCTAGAACAACTCACAAAAAAAGAGGCATATTTGTTTGACTAGTTCAGTGATATAAAAGCTTTTGTATTACTTGCTAATATATAAAAATGAGATCTCCCCAGGAGGTGTTGGTGCACATCTTTAATTCTAGCACTCGGGAGGTAGAGGCAGGCCTGTCTCTGAGTTTGAGGCCAGCCTGGTCTACAGAGTGAGTTCTAGGACAGCCAGAGTGACACAGAGAGATCCTGTCTCAAAAAACCAGAAAAATAAAGTAAAATAAAAATGAGATTTCACATTTTGGAAAAAAAAAATTCTGTTTCTCTGCCTTTTGAACCAAAAGGCTTAGCTTTGAAGCTACTGTCTGCTGCCCCACCATTGGGAGAGGTAGCACACACCTTTAATCCCCATATTTAGGAGACAGAGGCAAGCAGATCTCTATGAATTTGAGGTCAGGGTGGCCTAGATCCATTGCTCAGGGGACAGGGTAGAGGTGGGGATGGGATGATGAGGGAGACGGAAGCATATTGAGTTTTAGGCCTGTGGAGCTATTTAATAGGATCCTGTCTCAAGACAAAACAAAACATAAATAAAGCTACCTACCAAGTCAGGTAATAACTTCCCTTTGTGTTTCTTGTGATCAACTCAGATAGTAATGATGAATTGTGTCTAGTAACTTCTGCTTCATCTGTGACATTGTAGAGTGTTGACCATGAAAAGGTGAGGGTATAATAGTGACAATTGAGAAATCCTCAAGAGGGGCAAAAGTAAGGTCCTAGCCTAAAAAATTTCTAGCCTTCCTTTTATTATTTATAGAAATAAGTATATATAGTTTATGACCTCTTAGATGTTATGTAGTTTGGTTCCCTTACCTTTCTGCAGTTAGCTTAGAATAAAGGCAGAGGGTGGAAGTATACATTCCATGTGTCTACACTATTGGCAAGCTGTAAAACCCAGGAAAAGCAAGCATGGTATAGTCACTTTGGTATCAGATTGCCAAAAACTGTGCCTTCATTTATGACTTCATATGTCCTGAGGGATGTGTTGGTCTAAGGACCAATTCCAGGGTTAAGGATAGGCAGAGAGAAAGGCAAGCCAGGACTGTGCTCTGAGAGCATTGTCTGGCTGGACTCTCTGGCTTCTGGTGGGAACCAGGACTCCTGGAGATGTGGCTGAGCTCTGGGTCCAGGAGGCAAGGGTTGCCATGGATCCAAACCTGGCTTGTAGCTAGAGAGGAGACAGATTGTGTCCTTAATTCACTACTCCTCTCTCCACTGCTGTATCCTTTAAAGCTATGGCCCTTTTGGTTCTGGCCTTTTAAACTCCATCCCAAAGGGTGACAAGCAGACTACCCAGTAGCCTTGCACACTTGAAAAGCTGAGAGCAGAGATCAGATCTTCAACGTCTGGTTGTTGCCAGACTTGGTAGCATTGAAATGGATGAGTATTGGTGCAAGGAGCCAGGCGCTCGCAGTTTTCCCCCAGTACATTTTCTGTGCTGAGTTAAGAATCTATTGGAAGAGTGAACCCTAATGTAATCTGGGTTTTGAGTAATGGTGTATCATTGTCGGTGGGGTATTCATAGTGGAGAGAATCTGTGCATGGGAGTCAGGGGTAAATGAACCTTCTGTTCAGTTTTGTTGTGAACCCAACACTGTTATAAAATAAAAATAGAGTTGATTAAAAACAAGCAAACATAATGCCTGTTGGGTGTAAGATACACTGCTGAACTCCAGAGAGCGTTGGGAGAGTGGCTAGCTGTAGGGAGTTAAGTGGAGGAGGAGCTGGCTAGAGCTCTGAAGTCTGAATGGAGTGTGTGCTACCTGTGATCTGCTTGCTCTCTGCTCTAAATTCCTCTAATGAATAGACTCTGTCTTCTCTCGTGCTGAGCTGCTCCAGCAGTTTCGATCACAGCCTAGCCCAGCGTTTGTGGTTTAAAGCAGCACTTCTCAAACTTTTATGTGCTTACAAATCAGCCAGGGATCGTGTCAAAATTCAGATCCTGATTCAGTAGGTCTAGGGGGAGGAGCTGAGGTTTCTCCTAGCTTCAAGGTCTCCAGGTGATGTTAATGCTTCGGTTTGTAGTCCATGTAGACCTTGGAGAAGAAGCCCAGGTTTGTGACTTTGCAGTCAGGTTTACTGGGTTTGGATTTCTGCGTTCCTATTTAGAAGCTGTGACCCTAACAAATTGTTTAACCTGTATATGCCTGCCTGCTTTGTCCTTTTAGTCCATTCATGAAGTTGGCAGAGGGAGAACACAAACATACAAGTAGAGATTCTGAATCCTAGCTCCTCCACCCCTGCCCCAGCTCAGCTGGTAAATTATTCAAGCCTGGCTGCAGTAAACCTCGGGCCCAGGACCCATCTAGCTGATAGTAAATGTAGCAAAAGCAATCAAAAAGGAAAAGGAAATGAATTGTGACTGAGCTTGTCCTAAATCTTATCCCCAAGTTGGGAGGGCCCAGACCTGCTACAGCTGGCCTTTGTGGGACAGACTTAGTTCTGTCCGAGATCCCTGTAGTAACAGCCCCATTCCCACTGTGACATTATGAAGGACATTTTTAAAAGCATACCTCATTTTGTTTTTAAAGTTGTGTGTGTGCACGCGTAGGGTGTGAATATAAGTGTCCTCAGAGGCCTGAGGCATTGGATCCCCTGGAGATGGAGTATAGGCAGTTGTGAGCTGCCCAGTGTGGGTGTGAGAACCAAACCCAGGTCGTCTGCAAAAGCAGTAGGCACTCTGCTGAGCCATTTCTCTAGCCCCAGTTGTAGACATTTTTTGTTTGTTGGTTGTTTTGTTTTGCGAGGCAGGGTGTGTAGCTCTGGCTGTATGTAGGCTGGCCTCGAACTCACAGAGATCCGCCTGCCTGTCTCCAAAGTGCTGGGACTAAAGGTGTATGCCACCCAGCTCAGATATAGACAGTTTTAACTGAGATATGTTTTCAGTGTTTTTGTTGTTATTGTTTTGAGAAAACTTTTAAAGTAAATGTAGCATATTGTTGGCTGTTTTTGAAAAATCTGAAATAGCCACTCACAGAATTTGGGTTGTAGGTTTCTTGGTCCATGAGAGTATAAAATGCTGAGTAGAACTTTCTTAGGTCTGTCCCTTTTCTCACTGGTTTTAGAGAATAGTAATTGGGTTTATTGCTGAAGTGCAGTCATGGTTTGTTTCTTCTCCCAGATCTTCCTGACAGTAGACTTGGTTTGGTCCTCTTGGTCTTGGTGTCTTGTGATGACAGTGAAATGGGCAGGACATGAGATGGCTTTGTTCCATGTGTCCATAGTAGCATTTATGTGACTAGTTACATATTTGTGTAACTGCTAGTTAAAACCTGTCTTCTCCTGGCTCCTTTCCTCACAGCCACATTGCAACACTGTTTGCTTCAAGGTAGCCACCTAATGAATACGTTAAACCAATTAGAATGGCCAGAGCTGGCAGGGACAGAGTGGAACTCCTTTACCTAAGAGAATAGACACAATGACTCATTGTCATTCTGTGATGTTAGTTTGCCATTCTTATTGCTAATTTGCCAAGTCAGTTGCTTCAAGTTTTGCTATGTAGTGTGACTTTGAACTGTTTTCTTTTGGAGCCTCTTTCCTTTCCCTTCAGGTTGGGATGTCCTAACTAGTTGCCTGACAGAATTAAAGCTAGAATTCAGTAAAATACTGTCATAAAATACTTGACATGGGCCATGAATGTAGCTCAGTTGGTACAGTGCTTGCTAGTCATATACAAGACCCGGGGTTCAGTCACTTGTACCAAATAAACCTGGTGCAGTGGTGCATGCCTACGGTCCCAGCACTCAGGACAGGGAGGAGGCAGGAGGAACAGGAATTCAAGGTCATCCTCAGCTACATAGTGAGCTCAAGGCCTGCCTTGGTTACAGGAGACACTGTCTCCAAAAAAAAAAGAAAAAAAAAAAAAGTGACAAGTGACCCAGTGGTTAGCACACAAGAATAACTTAATTAAATCTTAATCATTTTAATTTTAATCATCAAGAATCAGCTGTGCATAACCTGGCACAGTTACTTTTCCTTGTCCTTGGTTTCCTGTTAATTTTCTTTACAAATTAAAAAGAAAGAAGATAGAAGTCTCATTCAGAGCCCCCTTGTCTTGGCATGCCGGGTGTCTTGCTTGGAGCTAGGCTGGGTGGCCTGGAAGGATTAGTTTTCTGCTCCTGCTAATCCCCACCCACCTGCACTCTGTGTGTGGCCTTCCTCCAGAAGGGCAAAGGCCCTGGTGTCTGTGCATTTGGCCCTGTTTTCAGGCCTGCAGTGCTAGGGGGCTGGGTGGTGGAGTATTGAGAGGAGGTTGTCCAGGTGAGGCCAACCTCAAGGCTCAAGGCCAAGCCCAGCAGGACAGGACACCTGGGCTCCCCTTGGGAGTGGTTGTTAGCTCCAATGTGTTGTCCTGTCAGCTCAGCATCTTGCTACTGTTTGTCAGCTCCCTAATGAAGCTGGTCTTTGGCTTCTGGGACATCTGATTTCCAGGGGATTATTTGTGTTACACACATTAATGCTTTTTAATAGCAAAATTTTAATTAAATGGAAAGTCCTTTTGGAAGCAAGGGAGCAGCTGCAGCAGGACTCAGGATGAGGCACTGACTGAGGCCACAGAAGTGAAATGGGGGGGTGGAGTGGCAGGGGTAGGTAGTTTGCCTGGGCCTGGGTTAGGTGGGTGGGAGGGCAGCAGGGGATCTAACTGTGGTTACTTCCAACCTAAGAACCTTCCCCTATCATGTACAGGCTAGAGAAGTGAGGAGGGTTGTAAAACCATAGAAGATTGACTAGTATGGATGATGTAGTTGTTAGGCCTCAGGTTCAGGCTTGGCAGGCCTTGGAGTCCTCTTCATTCCTCAAGCAAGGAAGAAGGGAACTGTGGTGATTGATGGTCAGTACCATGTGGCAGCTGAGTTGTATGTTTTGCTTTCCGACTGATCTTGCTGCTTCAGTCATAGGGACATAGGAAGTGCAGCGTTTAGGAGGTGCTTTGGCACTGGACCGGGCAGCAGTGTGGGTCTGCCAAGGAAGCAACAACCATGATTTTTTTTTTTTTTTTCTGCCCAAGCACTTCACCAGTTGCTTTGGTGTCAGGCCATTCCTGAAATGCTCTGGAAGGTATTCCTGTAACTGCTAAGTATTGGAGCAGAGGTCAAAGGCATAAAGGGAATCTTTTGAAACCAAAGGTTCCCTATAGGAAGAGTTTGGGTGAGAGGAGGGACAAAAACATTCACACAGGCAACCAAAGCAAGTCCTGTTTGCATTAGAGTGATGCTCAGGGGTTGGCATTTAACTCAGGGTTGGCTTTGTAGGCAGAAGCTAGTGAGACCTCAGAAGACATTGAGTTGGTCTTTTGCCCAGGAGCTTTAGAGGCAGGCAGGCAGGCAGGCAGGCAGGGCCTTGCTTTGCACTTGGTGAACTGCCTTCTCTACCTGCCATCCTCTTGGACCCATGGGTGATACTGTTGTAGGTATATTGTGAGCACTCTCTCCTTGGCTCTGTTGCTTTGGTGCCTAGTGTGTGGGCTGGCCCACATTGCTTATAGGCTGTAGTTAAGTGGACTAGCTTTTGGAGTCTGAGACCTCTGAAGTCTGATCCTCTGGTTGTTTTCTGTAAAATGGAAGTAGCAGTCATCTCAGGGCAGTGTAATAAAGCCTTGAACGCTCTGTTCCTCCTAAATGCCATCACCTAGCCTAGGATCTGGCATATTGTATTGCTCAAAATAAGCAGTAGTATATGATGTAAGTCTACCCCAAGGCTGGCACACAGTATACATTTAATAAATAGTTATTTGTGATTTGGCATGTTGGTACATGCCTGTGCTCCTAGTATTCCAGGCAGTAAGGTAGAAGGATTGTCGCAAGTTCCAGGGCAGCTGGGCTACATACATAGCAAGACCCTATCTCAAAAATAAGAGTTGAGCATAGTGGCTTATCACTTCTTTACTCCTCACACTGAGAAGGCAGGCAGATCTCAGTTAGAGGCCAGTCTAGTCTACATCATGAATTCTAGGCCAGCCAGGGCCTGGAGGTGGGGGGGCGGAAAATATGGCTTAGGAGGTAGAGTGTTTGCCCATCATGCATAAAGAAGTCTGAGTCTCTCAGCACTACACTAACTAGGTCTGGTGGTACATATCTTTAATTCTAGCATTTGAGAGGTAGAGGCAGGAGGATCAGGAGTCTGAGGTCATCCTCAGCTGCATATTGAGTTTGAGGCTATATGTGCAGGCCCTGTCTCAAAACATCCATTGTGATGGTTGCCTGAGTACGTGTGTGGCCTGTGCCACATGCCTTTCTGATGGGTTCTTCCTTTCCCCAAACCCTTTCATCCTGTTCCCATTTGCTCCTCTGGAAGAACTCCTGGGCTTTTATTTCTTGCCAGTGTCTCTTTCTATGCCATGTAACTAGCCCCTCTAGGAAGGTTCTTGCTTTTCTCCCTCTGACTGAATTTTTGAGCCATGGAGCTTCTATCTCTTGCCTTCAGGCATAGTAGAAACCAAGCACTAGTCTCTTGCTGTGTCTGTGTACCCCTGGCCTGGGGAAGCGGGGTACTAGGTACATTGCTACTTTTCTCTGCAGCATCTTCAAAAGCAAGCCCTGTGAGGCTGATAAGATGGGACTGGGTGGGGTTGCTACAGAGAATAGGATTTCTGAGTTCCTTTCTGCTAATCTCTGTTCCCATCTCCTCTCTTACAGTGCGTCTCCATGACAGTATTTCTGAAGAAGGGTTTCACTACCTCGTGTTTGACCTGTAAGTGCCACTTTCTGAGGGTATGGGGACCTTTCTCTCCAACTGGCTGAAGATAAAAGCTTGGGAGAGGCTAAACTGGGTCTTCAGCCTCTGCTGAGGGTTCCTCTCCATTGCTTGAGGAAGAGGACTGGGATGAGTGTGCCTGCCCAAAGCCACTCCTCTCGCAGAGGTCTCATTGTCACTCACTGTCTCATAGAGCATGAGCCTCAGGGTGGCCTTGCTCCTCCTTTCTGTTCTGTGCATAGCTTGTTTCTTGGTGTGTTTTCCTTATTTTTGGAGAAATAGAATAATGATTCTTTGCAGTTCTTAAAAATTCTGGGACGTTGGAGGTAGCTTTTATGACTTGTGAACTGCGTTCCATTGGTCCCTCTTCCACTTTCAGTTGTTCTTTAACGTCTTAAGAGCGGCTCTTTAGCTCCTGGAAAGTGCTGTCCAGTATTATCAATGGTTGAGTTTCCGTATCTGTGGTCTCATCATTCTTCACCTTTAGCAGTAGGTCTGCCCTTGCACTGCCATGTGGTAAAGTTCATATCAGTCTTAAGTAAAGCTATGACTCTTGTGGTCATTAGATTATTCTTCTTAGATCCCTATATCGCTTTCTGAGTGTTAGTGATTCTGTTAGGTCACAGAAACAGAACTGTCAGGAAGGAGGGGAGAGCCATGCTAGCCCATGGAGAAGAGACTGAACATGTTCTGGGCTCCCAAAGTGCCCAGGGTGTCGGGGTGGCTCTAAAAGCTTTTTTACTCTATGACTCTTGCCTGTTGGATGCTGGAGTTGGCAGTGGACCCCGCCTCCTCTGACCCTTTCTTCTGTCGGTTGCAGTGTTACTGGAGGGGAGTTGTTTGAAGACATTGTGGCCAGAGAATACTACAGTGAAGCTGATGCCAGGTGAGAGAAATCTTGGTGTTTTGACACTTGCATTTTGAGTTTAGCACTGACATAGGTCCTGGCTACTTTTGGGGGGCGGGGCGAGGGGCAGGGGCAGTATTGTGTTTTGTTTGATAGTCATTGGACTCTGGTCTGTAAAGCTGTAGTAGGGCTGCACTCTGTGTATAGTATTAGAAGTTACAAATTCAACACCCTCAGATTAGTTTCTTTAAAAGCCTCTTCCAGGACTCCTTTATCCTATTACCCCAGAAATACCTTTTTTTTTCCTTCATTATTATGTACTCACAAACATACCCAGTGGCCACTCTACGCCTCTTCTTGTGTGTACAAGGTCCTGATGTAGGGATCTGGGGGATCAGAGCTGGAGAAAGCATCACTTTTGTCCTGAAGGGTATGAAACTGGAAAACTTCCTCAGGAGCTTTCAGCCTTTGTCACCTTGTCACTTCACCACCATGACCATTTCAGCATGGGTCCCATGGCTCAACCCCCAACTCTTCATCAAAGCCAGCGGCTCTTTTGTCTGATACCTACATCGTGGCGTTCAGGTGGCCTATCCTGCCCACCTTAGCTTTTCCCCTTTACAACCTGATTTTTGTTATCCAGCCTACAGCTTATCTGGCTTACGTGGTGGCTCAGGCCGCCTCTAGAGAGTGGGGGAGTGCAGCTTCCTCACGAATTTCTCAACCCTGAACAGCCGATGTTTGCTGATCAACTTCAGATGCCTCAGCCTGGGGAAAAATTCTCAAGTGGAGAGATGAATTCCAGTGCCAGCAGGGGAGGACCAGGCTGTGGGTGGGAGGAGGCGGTGATAGCTCTGGGAGCTGGGGGTGGGGGACTGTACCAGTGGGCTTGGCCTGGCTCTGCTGGGACACTTCGCACTTTTGCCATTTTTGGCCAGAAGGCTCTCCCTGCTAGCTGGGCTCTGTTCTAATTATACATTTCTGTGGAGACTCGCCTCTGCAGCTCAGTCTTAAGGTTCCTTTGGCACACTGTTGGGCTCTATGCTGTGGAGGCCCTAAGCCTCAGTGTCTAGGTCTGACAACATCCATTGGCCCCTTGGCTCTCTTAGGAGCCTCAGTACCAGATTTCAGAGAAGCAAATCCTAAGTGCAGGCCACTCAGGCCAGCACATCTAATGTTCTGCAGATGGGCCCACCACACCTGGCAGAGATGGCTGACTAGACTCTACCAGCATTCTTCAGCCTCAGTGGTACTAACCTTTAGCAAAGATAAGATTCTTGTAATGAAGGTCTCTCCTATGCATGATTAGAACTAAGAAGCATCTTTGAGCAGTTGATACGCCCCTTTCCAAGTTGTGCCAACCAGAATTGTTTCCATTGCCAGTTGCCCCTTGGAGGGCACGCTCACCCCTACTTGGGAACTATTGCTCTGGAGTACTCATACCTGGTGCTGGGAATCTGACTACAGGGCTTGCAGGATACTTTGCAAGGTAGACAGTCCGTTCTAAGAAATAGCAGCTGAGTGTGATTCTGAGCTAGGTTGTCTTTTTCTATGCAGAATCATCAGAAATGCTTTATGTGCACCCCACTTAGGGTCTTCTTCTTCTTCTTCTTTTTTTTTTTTTTTTTTTTTTTTTTTTTGGTTTTTCAAGATAGGGTTTCTCTGTGGCTTTGGAGGCTGTCCTGGAACTAGCTCTTGTAGCCCAGGCTGGTCTCGAACTCACAGAGATCCGCCTGCCTCTGCCTCCTGAGTGCTGGGATTAAAGGCGTGCGCCACCAACGCCCGGCTCACTTAGGGCATTCTTAAATTATTTCTGGAAAGGTTCTGTGTGCTGTCTTTCTCATCCCTGCTGGATGAGAAACTTCAGAGCAGTTAATGTCTTAGGTAGTACGAGAAAACCCTTCAAAAGTCCCTCTGTAAATGGCTATGTGAAGGCATGCGCCATGCGCCCATCCTTGCACTCTTCCCAAGGTACACCATAAACATCTTCCCTAAGAAAAAGTTTACTTAGGAAAGAGAAGGAAAGGCCTTGGATGGTCGTCTTACCTTGCGTAGGAATATTTAGCATCTTTCAGTCTCTAGAAAACAAATGACTTGTTTTGGACCTTTGCAGTCAAAATAAGCCATGGTAAACCTCTATTCTAGTCTCTGGAAAACCCATATAACTTTACATGGGCCTCAGTTTCCTTTCCTGTGAAGTAAGTGTTGATGATGAGAAAAGTGGCATGCTTCTGTATTCCCAGTAGTCAGCCTGAGGTGGAAGGATCATGAATTCAAGGCCAGTCTGGGTTACATAGCAGGTTGCATGCAGGCCAGCTTATAATAACTAATAGCAGTAAGACCTTCCTTCAAAATAGGAAAAGGAAAGAAAGAAAGAGAAAAAGGAAGCTATTGTAAATTAGTATAGCCATTTTTGGAAAACAGTATGGATGTTTCTCAGAAAAGCTAAAAATAGAGCTGCCATATGATCCAGCAATTCCACTACTGGGTAAATACCCAACAGAATTAAAATCAGTATGTTAAAGAAATGTCTGCACGCCCACTTTCATTGCAGCATTATTCACAATAGCCAAGATACGGAAACAACCTAAATGTCCATCAGCAGATGAATGGATTAAAAGAGAATAATATACACGACTGAGCCTTTAAAAGGCCAGGAAATTCTGTCGTTTATGACAAGATAGGTGAACCTGGAGGACATTGTGCTAAGTGAAACAAGCCAGGCACAGGGAGACAAATATCACATGATCTTACTTGCATGTGGAATCTAGAGAAGATGATCTCATAGAGGTAAAGAAGAATGGCAGTTAGAGGCTGGAGTGGGTGGGGAAAGGGGAAGTCAGGAAGGAGGGACGGGTTCCAGCAGGGGGCTATAATTAGTAATTTGTTTATTTATTTGGTTTTTCAAGACAGGGTTTCTCTATGTAGCCCTGGCTGTCCTGGAACTCACTCTGTAGACCAGACTGGCCTCAAACTCACAGAGATCCACCTGTCTCTGTCTCCTGAGTGCTGGGATTAAAGGCATGCACTACCTACTCCCAACAATGTTTTAAAATGTATTAAAAAAAAAAGGAACATTTTAAATGTTCTCACTGGAAAGAATAAATATTTGAGGTGGTATACATTGTATCAGAATGTCACATCGTCTTATTTTTCAATGGATCATAGGGCAGCTCTATTTTTAGTTTTTCTGAGAAAAATCCGTACTGTTTTCCAAAAATGGCTATACTAATTTATAATACCAACAGGTTGAGCTAGATAATATTCAAGGCCCAGGGTTCTAGCTTATTGTTCAGTCAGTGTCGTCCACACAGGTGGCCTTTGTGGAGGTGGTTTAGCCCTGCACTGATATTTCTTGTGCTGCTTTTTCAGCCACTGTATACATCAGATTCTGGAGAGTGTTAACCACATCCACCAGCATGACATTGTCCACCGGGACCTAAAGGTACCTTAACTGGCTGACTTCCTTTGCCTCCTGCTAGCGACTTGTTGGCGCCACCTGGTGCTCGTTAGTGGTACTGTGTGAGCCCAGAGTAGGTGCCCTCTGGGCTCCAAGGTGTGTGTGTACCTCATAAGGTTCTCCTTGTTCCTTCTGCAGCCTGAAAACTTGCTGCTGGCGAGTAAATGCAAGGGTGCTGCGGTCAAGCTAGCTGATTTTGGCCTCGCCATCGAAGTGCAGGGAGAGCAGCAGGCTTGGTTTGGTAAGGGTGACCCTGTCTTCCGGGAATGCAGCCTCCACCCTTCCTCCTTTTCCTGATCTGCCTTCCTCTTTCAGAACTAGAAATCAGGCCTTTAATGGTCCTGGCCTTTTCAGAAAGTGGAGGAGGGTAGGAGGGCACCGGGTCCCTCCTGGCCCTCATGACTCAGTACAGTGAGTCTGGCTGCTGTCTGCAGTGCGTTCTTGTTGCCTCTGGGGAGGTGCTTGAGTTCCTGGTAGGCACAAGTACTTGCTTTCTGATTTAGATTCCAGGCACTACGAGAAGCCCAGCCCGTCACTGTTTGTAGCCTGAGTGCTGAGAGTGTATGGAGTAAAGCAACAGGGTTAGAAGGGCTTTGGAGAGAGTTACAGATGTGGACTTAATGAGAGAGACAGTAGGTTCAGTGTGGCTCTGCCTTCTCTTCTGCTACAGGTTTTGCTGGCACCCCAGGTTATTTGTCCCCTGAGGTCTTGAGGAAAGATCCCTATGGAAAACCTGTGGATATCTGGGCCTGCGGTAAGCACATGCCACACACTCAGCTTTTTGGTGTTATGGGCCGTGGGGGGTGAGAGAGAGAGAGAGAGAGAGAGAGAGAGAGAGAGAGAGAGAGAGAGAGAGAGTCCCATTCCTTCTGGGTTCCACAACTGTCTGCTGTATGTGAAATCATGGTGTTCTCTCTTGTTCCCTTGGGAGGACTGTTCCCATCATGCCCTCCTCGCCAAGTGAATTCCTCAGTTATGTTGCATCCTTCTTGGAGAAGGATTTGCCCACGCCCTAGAGGATAGTTTGTACCTAAAGAGGTCTCTGATGCACTTGGTGATGTGAGGAGTGAGGCCCAGCAAGAGGGACTAGAGGCACAGCATTATTGGCTGGCATCCACCTCTGACTCTGACGTTTACCTTTCTGGGTGGTTCTGAGCCCTGCATGGCCTTTCTTGGTTCCTCAGGGGTAAGTGACTGACCCCAATCAGTGATCTGTGTGTTCTGTCTCGCAGGGGTCATCCTGTATATCCTCCTGGTGGGCTACCCTCCCTTCTGGGATGAGGATCAGCACAAGCTATATCAGCAGATCAAAGCTGGAGCCTACGATGTAAGGATGGGTTTTCTGAGAGCTGAGCAGGCACTCCTGGAAGGACAAATTCCCTGCCTCTAAGGGTCTGTCCAGGGGAGTGATGTTATTGTCATTTGATAACAGGGTGTCAGGGGACTTTGAGGATCCAAGGATGGGCATACAGGACTCAATTCTTGCCACCATATGTACAGAGAATAGATTAAAAGAAAAACCCTCCTTGCTAATTATAAAATTAAAGAACTCATTGAAGCCCCTTTTGATCTATTTCTGCAAAGAGCAGAGAAGCTGCATGGTATGTTAGACCACACAAGGAGAATTCTAGAGCCTTCCTCCACTGCTTTGGTTCCTTGGACACATTGTAAAGCCCTTAGTAGAAATATAAAGTTGAAGCAGATAATGTTGGAGTTCCCTTCCTTCACTGATCTGATACATTGGCATTCTAACCATTATTGTGCTGTCTTCATTTCCAATTCTAAGTTGTCACAGATCCTGGGATATTCCCAGGAGTTCTCCAACTCTTGGGTACCACAGAGTATCCCAATTGTAGGAGTTGGAATGAAGACAGCCTACATTTCAGGGTAGAAGGCTCACAAATTTCCTATCTCCCTTTCCCCTGTTCCTGCTCCTTAGTTCCCATCACCAGAATGGGACACGGTGACTCCTGAAGCTAAGAACTTGATCAACCAGATGTTGACCATAAACCCAGCAAAGCGTATCACAGCTGACCAGGCTCTCAAGCATCCATGGGTCTGTGTAAGTCTCATTGCCCCCAGTCTCGGAGATTGGAGGTGGCAACCCTAATGTATCCCTTTACCCTCGTTGCACAAGGATTCAGGAGGGTAAGGGGATGAGTCCAAGGTCAATAAATGTTATCTGGGGATTTGAGAGGCAAAAAGTGCTAATAGGTCTTTACTTGTGAGGCAGTAATTTGGTCCTGTTCTTGAATTAGAGCAGGTTATTGTTGATACAAGACAGCTGATGCCCAATGTGAAGTCCCAAGCTTAGGGTATACATGGGCCTCAACTCTTATCAGGACCCCAGTACATAAGCACAAGAGGCTTCTGACCCACTGAGATGTGCCCCTGAAGCAGAGTTGTGGAGCTCTTGAGCTGAGTTCCGAGGAACTTGTAGGCTGTCGATGTGGGTTGATATACTGTGTTTTCACACACCATTCTAGTAAACTGAAATATCTACCGTCAGACAAAGGAATGGGTCTGGTACAGTGAAGCATCTTGAGTGATGATGCATTTGTTTAGTTGCCTCTTTGTGCTGGTCACCAGGCAGTTCCTGGAGATGAATGGGGCATGGGGAAACAGATATTCAAACAAGCAACCATGCTTATAATTAGACAAATACACAGAAAATGTAACAAATTCAGGGGTTTCTACTGCCCCAGATAGGCATTAGGGTCACAGGAGGTTTTATGGAGAAAGTGATCTCTGTATTGGTTCTTAGCAGATGACTTAAGGGTCCCCTCAGGTGTTACCCTGCAGACAGAGGTTAACATAGAGACAGTGAGAGGCCATAGAAAAAGGTGGCCTGTAGGGAATGTTAAGTAATTTGATTTTCAGTGAGACTGTGACTAGTGACTCAGCAAAAGAGTGAGGTGAAAAAGATTGCATGACATACCAGCTTCTGCCTAAAGAGTTGAGATTTTTTGTTGTTGTTTTACTCTGCTTTTTTTTTTTTTTTTTTTTTTTTGAGACAGGGTTTCTCTGTGTAACCCTGGCTGTCCTGGAACTCACTCTATAGACCAGGCTGGCTTTGAACTCACAGAGATCTCTTGTCTGCCTGCCTCTGTCTGTGATTTTGCATGTAATGTCACTTTGGAAGCTATGTAGAAAATGGAATTGATGAGCAAGAGGCTGGAGTGAAGGAGAGGGCAAGTCAATGGGTATTGCTGGATTTAATTGGTTAGTGATCGATGGTTGTACAGTTCATGGACCCAGAAGAACTAGATTCTGAGAAAAGATGATGACTTAGTTTTGTAGGCAGTGAGAGTGGTGTTAAAGAACCTCGGGCTGAGGCACCTGGTTTAGTGCTAGAATGCTTTCTTGGTATACATGAAACCCTGGGCTCCATAAACAGCACTGAAAGAGAGCATGGAATGTGGAAGAGAGGGGGCTGTAGAGAGTAGAAGTGAGAATTTGGAAGCGTGGCCTGCTGTTTCTGTGCAGGTGATGCTGAGGTTTTAGAAACATGGAATTGTTCTTGTACTGAGCAGATTCCTATTGTGAGCTCTCTTGCTTTGGAAAAAGGAGAGATGGCCACTAAATACCAGCATTTAAGGACAGGGAGAGTTTAATGAGTCATACAAAGAGATTGAGAGTAAGACTATCTATAATCAGAAACGATAGAGAAGCTAAGAAACAAGGGGGCCTTAGTGAGACCATCAGCAGCCAGACACTGAAAATCCCTGAGAAAAATAGGAAAGAATTCCCAGCTCTGGCCAATGAGAGGCCATGGTTTTGTAATTTCATAGAGATAGTGGAAAACAATAGGGAGATACTTGTTTGTCTCTGGATAAGTGAGGCTGAGACCTCTGGGATACCAGGCAGATGGGCCATTAGCAGATGGGCCAGAAAGTTTTGTGTTTTCTTTGTCATATAAATGTACATTGTTAGTTGTGACAATTTAGCACATGCTCCGTTTACTATACCAGGCACTGTAGACATACACATACACACACACACACACACACACACCTTTAATCTACTCCCCTTCTTCCCAGCCTCCAGGAATCATTATTTTTGTTGCCTTTACCTTTTTTTTTTTTCTAAGACAGGGTTTCTCTGTGTAGTTCTGGCTGTCCTGGAACTCACTCTGTAGACCAGGCTGGTCTCAAATTCACAGAGATCCGCCTGCCTCTGCCTCCCAAGTGCTAGGATTAAAGGTATGTGCCGCCACCGTCTGGCTCAGGTTTACTTTAAAAAAAATTTTTTTTAATTCTGTATCTCTGTGTTTTGCCTGCATGCATGTTTGTGGACTATGTACATACCTAGTACTCATGGGGGCTCAGAACAAAGTGTCAGATGTTTTGGAACTGGAGTTAACAGATGGTTGTGAACTACCATGTGGGTACTGGGAACTGAATCTAGGTCCTTTGAAAGAACAGCAAGTGCTCTTGACTGATGAGCCATCCTCCTGCCCCCTACTCTTTTATTTATTTTTTTAACTTCCATATATGAGAAAGAACACATAGTAAGTAATGCCTGTTTGTGTGTGTCCACCAATTCCAGTGATTTTTTTTTTAATAGAAGCTTGAATATAATGTAAAGATTACAGAAAAGAATCTAATACTGTTTGAAGAAGGACAAGTTTGGAAAGCAAAAGGGGAGAGGGATTCTTGGTCCTGGGTCAGAGGTCCACCCTGGACACAAGGAAGGACACATCTGAGACTTGGGTTAGGTTGGGAATAAGGAAAATCAATTTGGGAATGGAGACTGAAGCAGAAACAGAGCATAGACAGTAGCCTCTTACTTCTCTGTGGAGAATTTTACACAAAAAAAGGGGGATGGAGAAAAGGTAGAGAAGGTGAAGAGAATTGCTTTGGGATCCAGGAAAGAAAAGAGGATCAGCGGCATTACCTTTTTTTTTTTTTTTTTTTTTTCCAAGACAGGGTTTCTCTGTGTAGTTCTGGCTGTCCTGGAACTCACTCTGTAGACCAGGCAAGGATTGTGGGAAGTTGGACATTCTAGGCCATAGCCCCTAGCATTTATTTTAACCTAGCTGACTGAGATAGCAATAGTAAAGAGAGTGATGACCAGCTCAATTGAGGCACTTAAGAATCACAGAAGCACTGTATGTTGGAAGTTTGTGGGACCACCACTTACAGTCCTGTAGCCCTCAGGGACATTACTATAGTATAGTATTAATGCTTACATTATGACCCTAAGTCAGCAAGGAAATGCAGACTATGTCTGGTGCACTCAGTTTAAGGAGGCAAGGACATTAACAGCAAATTCTTTTGAAGAAATAAATGAATAAATAAATCCTTCCAAAACGATGAAAAAGGAATTGGATATGGTGGTGCTCACCTATAATGCCATCAGTTGGGAGGCAAGACCAAAGGATCTTGAATTCAGGGCCAACCTGGGGCTATGACAGAAGACCCTGTCTTAGAAAAGCAAAAAATAATTTCTGCTTCAAGGTAATTCTTAGCTTTTCAGATAGTTTCTTTCAAGAACTTGTGGGATGTGTTTGAGGGGTTCCGGAAAGGCACCCTGTGTAGCTGGAGCCCTGTCTCTCCCTATGCAGGGTCTGGACTATAGCAGGTACTCAGTAGAGAGTTGCTGAAGAAGTCGCTAAGCCAGTCTCCCATCACACCAGATATTCCCCGGTTGCCTTTGAAAAGCTCTCTTGGCACCTTCATCCCGAATCAGTTTTTGGTGGTTTTCTTCTTGTTCAGACTGCCTTTAACATAACCTTGAGTGGTTGGTGGCACTTGTGTTCTAAGGCCTTTTCTCACCTGTGACCTCATTTGATCAGCACTGTGGGAGCAGAGTGTGTGAGAATATGCTGTCACAGCCGTCAGTGCTGTGGTGACAGGGGACTGAGGTGAGGGACAGAGGGTCTGTGATGGGGGTCTCACGGGCTGTCTGTTTGGCTTCCAGCAACGATCCACAGTAGCATCCATGATGCATCGCCAAGAGACAGTGGAGTGCTTGCGCAAATTCAATGCCAGGAGAAAACTGAAGGTGAGCCCTACTTCTGGATTACTGGCCTCAAAATCGTGTCTTGTGACAGTGTAGCTCCTGTCTGGTCCCAAAGTAAAGCCCCTCCTATTGGAGCTAAGCTGAGAAGGTTAAGGTTGTTCATGTTGGGACATAAGAAAACTCATGTTCTTGGGCTCTGGCCGAGAGCTGCCTTTGTCAGAGTCCAGGCTGCCTTCTTCTAAAGTCCGTTTGGATTCACAGGGTTTTCTTCTTTCCCCAGGGTGCCATCCTCACGACCATGCTCGTCTCCAGGAACTTTTCAGGTATGTGTTCCCAGCTGTGCACTTTAATTCTGCCAAGGTGAGTGGGACAAGAATGAAATTTGGCCAGCCCAGGAAGCACAGGTGTCTCAGGCATCACCTGGAGCAGGACAAGCAAAGATCCTGTTTTGAGGGCGGCTGCTGCTGGACTCCTTCACCCAGTTTCTTCAGAAGTGCAGGAAAGGGCTTTTCTGGGGCTCTAGATCATGAATTCTGTTTCTTCAGACCACCTAAGAGTAGCTTGCCCAGCTTCCCACATGCCTTATCCCTAAGTGTTTGTAATTCTCCGGAGACTCTTCAGTACTTTGAGATTTTAGCCAGTCTAGGGTATTGGAGAATGCACTGGAGTAAGAAGGAAGATGAGATACGGTGTGTCTTCTCGTTGCACCCACTCGAGGTCATCTCTTACTTCATTGTGTCCAAGAAGCAGTGCCCGATAGAAGTTATTCCAGGTGTTTAAACCTCTCACATTGACTGAGACGTACGGCACCATCTGTGACACTAGCTGTAAAAGTGAAGAAATAGAGACCAGCGATGGGGAGGGGAAGGAACTCATTTAATTTGCTGAGGAACTGGGAGAGTTGGGTAGGTGATTTGTAAATCACACTTGACATTTGTTTTTAAGATGCAAGACATTCCAGTCCCCTCTGCAGCATCCATTCCCACCCTCACCTTCATTGTTTGCCCTCAGTTGAGAGCAGTGGCTTTTCTGTGAGGAAAAGATTAGTGTCAAGATTTAACTGAAGACAGAAAGGTCTCTCCCCAGCTTGCTTTTGCCCATGGTCTTCCCTTCCTCTAACCTCCAGCCTTGCTGTTTTGGTCCAAGACCCCTTTTCTCATCCTTCTAACAAGACCTCTTCCCTTGCTTACCTCCTGCACCGCCATGGAGAGGGGCTTGTGTCTTTGATTTCAGGTCTGCTAACCTGGTTCTGGGTTACTGGAGAGCTTTGGCTTGGAGGAGGCTTCAGGCAGGAGGACTAGGGCTCCATAAACTCTTGCCCTTGGACCCTAGCGTTCCAGGCTGTCAGGACCAGATGACCCTGGTTTGGAGGCTTATTATGCCGAATGCACACTAGAAGGTCATGGTTTCCTCCAGGAAGGGAGCAGGAGTGTGTGGCTTGTTACCTCCCACAGAGATAGCATTGTAACCCCCACGGTGCTCCTTACCCTGTAAACTCTTTCAACATTATTTTCTTGATTTTAGAGCTTCTTAGAGGACACTCAAGGGCATTTCTGTGCTGCCCATAGAGTGGTGATATTTCCTGTCTCCTCTGAGTCAAAGAAAGGTGAAGACAAGCTGCTGCTGCTTGTGTAGTCTGACCAGTCAGAAGCAAGAGCCCTGGTCTGTCACGTCAGCCTCTCTCCATTTCAGGAAATTAGTGTCATGGTTTGAGGCAGTCAGGCTCTTCTAGGAAAGAGCCTTGACTCATCCTTCAAGAGCCTTCTGGTCTTTGAGTTCACTCTATCCTAGGTTAGAAGGGATAGCAAAAACAAAACAGCACTGCAAGCATTCCATGTTGGCTTCTCCTGCCGTAAACTTGGGACCGGTGAGGACAGAGCCAAAGACATACAGAAGGATGTACAGGTGTAAAGGATGCTCACTTATTTCTTTAGGCGCAAACTAGACTGTTTCCCCAGTTGATCCATGGGGTACAATAGTAGGACAGATGTTGCATCTACTCTGACAGCCTTTATTTCTGGGCCTCCTTTCCTGGGCATCTTCATCCTCAGTGCACAGTGAAATGCAGACTGAGAAAAGCCACCTCTCTTCTCTGACTCCTTATAGGGAGGAAGGCCTGTGTCTAAAGGAGGAGCTAGGGCTTATCCCAAGGGCCATGTGGGAGCCTTCCCATGCTCCAGTCCTCTGTTATTTGGAATGTGTGAAGGACATGTGCTTCAGGCACTGTAGTAACAGGCTCATTTAAACTCAGAAAAGGTACCTACCTTCCACCAGGTCAGGCTTTTACCCTTGGGCTTTTAACTTGAAGTGATCATGGGACAAGCAATGAAGCCATTGCCATGAAGTAGAGGCATGGTATTCAGCCTGTCCAAGCCTCACAGGCCCCCAGACTGCTGTAGGGCTAGCTGCTCCTGCCTCCTCAGTCTGCCCCCTGGTGCCTCCTCTACCCTAGCTCGGCTGGCTTGGCCATGCCACCCGGGCCTTGCTGTGCGAGGGCGGCCAGCGGTTTCTACGCCTCATGCTGGGGCATGCTCGCTGCTGACTGGCCCCCGTGGCTTTGCGGCAGCTCTGTGCACTGAGAGACTGTATCCCCTCAGTTGGCAGGCAGAGCTCCGCCCCCGCCTCGCCTGCCGCGAGCGCCGCCGGCCTGGCCGGGCAAGGTACGTGGCATGAGTCCTCCCTGACCGCCTGCCTTGGCTCCCTGCCACCCCAACAGTAGGGCCAGCATGCCAGGCCCACTCACCAGGGAGGCGAGTCCCATGCTTGTGGGCTGAGATGGGCATGCCATACGGACCACCTAACTTGGCATCTGCAAGCACATTGATGTTATGAAGGCCCCTAACCAGCCGTGCATGCTGGGCGCTTGCCAACTCTCAGGAGGCAATAGCCTGGGGACTTGGAGTTGGGCAGTAGGAAGGAGCCTTTCCTCCAGATGCCCAAAGGGCTTCACCTGCAAACGACCCTGGGCATGGCCTGGAGCTGTGTAGTGCTGACTAGAATCTTATAGCACAATTTAAAACCCCTCAGAGAAAGCCTCAAAATTGTGAAACCTGGCGTTTACAGACCTGCTGACCTAAAAGGCTGTGGAGTACAGAATCCTCAGGGTCGGCCATCCCTTGGCCTGACTCTTAGCCCTGTCATACTCTGAGAAAATCATGTCAGCTCTCCCACCCCTCATCTCTGTAACGGTAACAAGTAACACAGAGATACTTAGGCACACATATGTTCTCAACTGACTAGACAGGACCACCAGCCACCTGGGAACTCATAAAACAAAACCCTGATGCCAAGGTTCCACACCAGACAAAACAGAATCCTAGGTGGATGGGATAAGTGTAAGTGTTTTGTAAAGTTTTCCAAGTGATTCTAGTAGGCATCCTGAGTTGAGAATCAGTGTGTGACAGTAGGTGGTCAGGCTTACTGCTGTAAACACATTAAAAATTTACTTGCCCAAATACAGCATGACTGGAGTTAAGGATAAAGGCCTTTTTTTTTTTTTTTTTTTTTTTTTTAAGAACCAAAATGTTGTGTTGAAGATATGTTCTTTCTTTCTGTCACTGGAGAAAGAACACAGTTTAGATAGGAGTGTCCACCTGAAGGACAGAGGATAGTGGCAGCAGTCACAGCGATGGTCAGGATCAGTGGTTCTTACGTGCCAGGCACTCTGCTGAGTTATTTTTAGGCATGGTTCCATTGTATCCCCACCACTGTCCTGTGACCTAGGGGCTGTTTCATCCCATTTTACAAACAAATAATTTGAGACTCAACGTGGTTAAGTAACCCACTTGTGGTCAGTCACAAAACACAGCAAGCAAGTGGTTAGAACCAATATAGAAATCTAGGGCAGTCCAGGTGAATCAGAGTTGGGCTCATTCTATATCCCTGTGCCTCCCAGAACTCTCCCACCCTCTGTCTACTGCCTTCCTATGACCTTTGTGGCCTTCGGGTGTCACCGTCTGCCTGATATAGGTCATCAGCCTTGAATATAACCCCATGGCTGGCTGGAATGTTTGGCAGCTTGTAATTCTAGCCAGTCCATGCTCATGGATCCAGAGAATGGGAAAGGGTGACAGCTAGAACCCAATAAACTGGGTGATGTCCTGCCCAGTGAAGGCTTCAGCCCCTTGGCAAAACCCTCCTGTAGGTGGTCCTGGTTTCTGTGTCTGTGACTGTCTGTCCTCACGTCTGGTCTCCTTCGTGATCTGTGACGCTATTTTCTTGAGAAAACTCCGGAGATGTCTTGCATCCTTCCTTCGAGAGGACTTCCATGATGTCTAGAAATGGAGCCCTCAACCATTTCACGTTGGCACTTTGTTTCCAGGCCTGGGTAGGAGCTGTTAAGGACAGTACTCCCAGTGCCCCCAGGAAGCTCTAGTACCGAGTGTGCTTTCTCTTCCTAAGTACAGGGTGTCTGCTTCTACTGAGCCCTCATCCATGGCTCTGAAACCCTCAAGATGCCCTTCCTGCAGAGGAACTACTGCAATGGCCTTTTTTCAGGAGCTGTGGAGGCTCTGGGCCCCTTGTTAGCTCAGCAGTTTCTCACAGATCTGGCTGCCAGGTTGAAGAGAGGATGTGATGCCAAGACATGACTTGCCTCTTTGTTTTCACAGCTGCCAAAAGCCTATTGAACAAGAAGTCAGATGGCGGTGTCAAGGTAGGTATTTCTCCCATCCTCTGACCAGAGACTGGCTTCTCTCCCAGCAGCTGCTGAGGGATTCTAAGTATCTTGCTCTCCCTTTCCTTAAGAACCTTGTCCTCACTGTTTTGTTTTAAGCCTCATGCTCCGAATATCAGGTTCCCCTGGCCTGAGAGGGAAGAAGGGATATGGGTCTCCTGACCTTAGGTAGATGGGAAAGATACTGGGGGAATGAATGATCCGAGTTGCGGTTTCCTAGTACCTGACTTCTGTATACCAACCTCATCTCCAGGGCTGGACTCTGCATGTTTCTGATTTGTTTGGGCCATTTGGTTAACCTTGTCCCTTTTTGCACAACTTCTTTTAATCAAAGCAAACCAGTGTGCCATTGTAACTCAGGCAGGATACCGTACTAGGAGCTTGAAGCCTTGGTGTTTTTCTGCAAACCACTTTCAGATCCCAGGTCAGATGCCACTGACTGAGAGTCTCAAGCTTCTATAAATGAAAGGACAATGGTGTGTCACAGCTCATTTCCATCTCGTAAAAGGGTTTTTCCTGTGTGAGTAAGAGAATAAGAGGGCCTGGAGTAGTGACTTGGCTGGGATGAAAAGAAGTGGCTATAGACACTCAAAGGAAACAGGGTACAAGGGAGACAGGCAGTAAGTGTCCTGGGGCTGGAGCACCAACTGACACATTAGAGAATTTCAAACCAAGAAATTAGCCAAACCATAATCTCTAACAAGAGCACAAACTGGGCCTTTTCTCAGGAGCGTATGTCCACCGTTGTGTACATGTGCCCGTTCCCCTCCCCTGAGCCTTTTTTGTGTCCTTGTTCTCTGCATGTTTGCTTTTGTGTCTTTCTGCCACTAGGAGGGGCACTTAACGACCACTTACACCTGCTCATGTGGAGCTGTGGTTTGGAGGTAGCCCTCTGGTTCTAGGCAGGAACAAAATGAGTGAGCCAAACAGGAAGAAAGGCTTTCTCATCAAGGTGGCCTCTGTCGGAAGCTCTTGGGAACAAGCTTAGGGGGAGAGGAATAGATGAGCCCATTTAGAGGCTGGCTAAGGTATGGGGTTGGAGGTGAGAGCAAGACAGGAGAACAGCTTTCTTTCTTTTTTTTTTTTTCACTTTTACACTTGAATGCATTTTCTTTAAAATGAAACAGTATAACCTAAAATCAAAATACATTGTATGAATTGTCATACATATTGATGTTTCTATCCAACTAGAACACAATATATACGGTAGAAAGATATAAGGTGGCACATGCTGTTATTCTAGTACTTGGGAGGCTGAAGTATAATTATAGTGAGACTGAAGCCAGCTTGAGGTAACATAATAAAACCTAATCTTAAAAGAATGTTTTTAATAGAAGGGGGTGAGAAGGAAGAAAAAGCAGTCAAAATTATGGCTAGTGCTGTAAGGGTGGAGCTTTATAGCTTAGTGGTAGAGAACAGCAAGGCTCTGAGTTTCATTCCTTGGTGCTGCAGGAACCAAAACAGCCACATTAATCCAAATAAGCAATAGAATTTAAAGTTTGTTAGACTATGGAAAATACTGTATGCCTGAATAGGAAAGATATGATAAGAGAGATGATAAGAAAGATTTGAAGAGCTAGAGTTACCTTAATATACATGAGGCCCTGGGTTTAGTCCCTGTAATAAGGAAAATAGAGATGTGTCTGAGTGTGCTGGGTGAATGGAAGAAGGAAAGAGCTGTGCACAGAGGTGTCAAGATATGCTATAATCTGCAGATAAAGGAAAGGTTCAGAAGAAAAAATGGTCAGAAATATCAAGGGAAAATATGCAAAACTATTGACCAGTAGGATGGCACAGATTGTAACTTATCAGCATAGAGGTTACCTGAAGTCATGGTCTGGCTACTCCCTGTAATACAGGGAATACCTGCTGTGATTAGAGTTGTGCCCACCCGGGAAGACTCACACTGAGTGTGGTTGATTTTAGAAGAATCCACGGGCTGGGCATTGTGGTGCATTCTTGTAAACTTTGTGCTGTGGTGGCAACAGTAGGAAGGTCGAAAGTTCAGGTCTAACCTGAGCTGCATAACAACACTGTCTCAGGAGGGAGAAGGGGAAGGAAATGAATTAACTGGGTAATTAGTGATAAACACTTTTCATTTCAGCACTCAAGAGGCAGAGGCAAGAGTTCCAAGATAACCGGGGCTACATAGGGAAACCCTATCTCGAAATAAAATAAAACAAAAAAGAGGCAGAGGCAAGTAGATCTCCGTGAGTTCAAAGCTAGCTTGGTCTACAGAGTGAGTTCTGAGGCAGCCAGGGCTATGTAGAGACCCTGTCTCAAAAAAAGGGGAAAGGAAATTCATCAGACAATGTCAAAGCTTCCAGCCTTGATTATTGAACAAAGTAGCTATGAATAAAATATGTGTCCAGGTGGGAAGAGTTTTGTTTTGATCCCATTGAGATTAAGGGACAGGTGGCACAGCTGAACAATGGAACAATATGGTACAACCCAGGAAGGAGTCCATCTTTAGCCTTGAACTCTTGATTCTCCTGCCTCTCCCTCCCAAATACTGGGATTATAGGTGTGTGCCATCATGTCCATCTTTGCAGGCTGAGTTTCTGACAGACTCAAAACTTTTGAGACAATAGTTTTAAAAATGACTCTAGTATAACCATAACCATTAGCCTAAGAAGATAATTATAATATACGCAGATTCAGAGCCAGCGGTGTGTCTCAGTGGTAGAGCACTTACTTAGCATATCATATATGAGGTTCTAGGTTTGATCTTCTATACCACAGAAAGACACACCAACCAAAAATATTCATTTGGGTTGGAGAGATGGTTCAGTGGTTATGAACACTTTTTGCTCTTGCAGAGGACCTGGGTTCAGTTCCCAGCACCCATGTGGCAACTCACAACTGTCTGTAACTATTTCCAGAGGATCCAATGACCTTTTCTGGCTCCTGTGGGCACTACATACACATGGTGCACATACATACATGAAAGCAAAACACCTGTATACATAAAATAAGAATAATCTCTTTTAAGGGTTTAATACATATATATAAATACATATATGTAATATATATGTTGTTTAATACACACACACACACACACACACACACACACACACACACACACACAGTTCTGCCTGCACGCTAGAAAAGAGCACCGGATCTCATTATAGATGGTTGTGAGCCAGCATACAGGTGCTGGGCATTGAACTTAGGACCTCTGGAAGAGCAGCCAGTGGTCTGAACCTCTGAGCCACCTCTCCATCCCCCATAAATAAATCTTTTTAAAATCGATTTCAGGGTATAGCGAAACAAGTTTTTTTCTGTGTTTCTCTAGCTGTCCTAGAGCAACCAGGCTGGCCTTGAACTCACAGAGATCCGACTGCCTCTGCCTCCGGAGTGCTGGGATTAAAGGTGTGCGCCACCACTTCCCAGCAAGCATGTAGTTTAGATTCTAGAGGCTTTGAGTAGGAGACAGAATCAACTATTGAATTTCAGTGCTTTCCTTCTCTCATATAAGTCTAAAGCATGTGAAAATTTAAAGACATGATAAAAGGAAAAAAATGGGAATTGTGTTGCTAAGACGAAGGAAATGGGAAAGGAACTAGTCCCTACTGGAGTGCTGAGGAGTGTGCTCTGCAGACAGAACTGCTGGGTAAATGGGAATGTGTGAGAAAGCCTGGCCCTGTTGTATGTCTGACCCTGGTATGTGCTTGGTAAATGAGTTTAATGCTGTGCTTTTTTTCCTAAGAAAAAGGTTTCACTATTGTGATGGGGTAAGAGGCCAAGAAACAAGTGTTTTAAAAAGGGATGACTAAAGTTAACAGACCAACAACTGTTGGGAATATAAGTAAACTGTAGAGCACTTGCCTGGCATGCCCAGTCCTTGACACTGGCAGGTAGCAGGAGACATTCACAGTAGGTGTGGTGGCATGGGAATCCCTTTATTAAAGAGTTTAACAGGCTGGGCATTGGTGGCGCACGCCTTTAATTCCAGCACTTGGGAGGCAGAGGCAGGGGCATCTCTGTGAGAGGCCAGCCTGGTCTCCAGAGCAAGTGCCAGGGTAGGCTCCAAAGCTAGACAGAGAAACCCTGTCTCGAAAAACCAAAAAGAAAAAGAAAAAAAAAAGTTTAACAAATATAAGCCTTTAATCCCAGCAGGCAGGAGGATCTCTGTGAGTTCAAGGCTAGCCTGGTCTACAGAGCGAGTACCAGGACAGACTCCAAAGCTACAGAGAAAAAAACTAAAAAAAGAAAGAGAGGGGGGCAGAAATAGATCAGGATGACAACTTTTAGCTTTATGACTATCAATGAAATGCAAATTGAAACAGTAAACCTGGTCTACAGTGAGTTCCAGGACAGCCAGGCTTACACGGAGAAGTCGTGGGGGGTGGGGATGGAGGGAAATGTGTCATTTTTGATTCTTAAGTTAGCGATTGTAGTAAAACCTGACGTCAAAGCCATACAGATGTACCTACCTTTGCTTCTGGGCATTTTCTTCTAAGAATTCTCCCAAAGAAATACAAAATAGGAAAAGCTGAAATCAGAAAGATGTTTTACATGATACTGTGTGAAAGGATGAGAAACTGTTTCTAAAGCTGGTCAGAAATAATTACATAACAATGAGAAATCTATTTATTAGACCCTTAGAAAGTTATTCATCCTGAGTGGTGTGGTACATGCCTTTAATCCCAGCACTTGGGAGAAAGAGGCAATCTGATCTCTGTGAGTTCAAGGCCAGCCTGGTCTACAGAGTGAGTTCCAGGACAGGTTCCAAAGCTACACAGAGAAACCCTGTCTCAAAAAAAAAAAAAAAAAAAAAAAGTAAAAAGGAAAGAAAGAACATCCTGGGTTGGAAAGCTGGTTCAGAAGTTAGGAGCATTTGCTGCTCTTGCAGAAGACTGAAGTTTAGTCCCCAGCATCCACCTCTGGTAGCTTACAACCGCCTATAATTCCATCTCCAGGGGATCTTAGACCCTTCTCTGGCCTCTTCAGGCAGATCTGGAACTGGAGTAACTAGT